GGGGGGGTCAACAGTGGGAGGGCTTCTAATGTCCTGGCCCCACTGGTGGACCTCCTGATGGCACTGGTATTTCTGGCCACTGTGTGATACAGTGTTGGACTGGATGGGCCTTTGGCCTGATCCAACATTGGCATCTCTTATGTTCTCCTCGACTTGCACATGCTGGATGAACTTGGGCAAGCCATAGTTCTGATAAGAGCTGTCCTTGAAAAAGAGCAGTTTCTGTCAGAGCTCTCTCAGCCCTACCTACCTCACAGGGTGTCTGTTGTGGGAAGGGGAAGGGAAAGGAGTTTTTAAGTCGCTCTGAGACTCCTTTGGATAGTGAAGGGCGGGGTATAAATCCAATCTCCTCCTCCTTCTCCTTTCTTCTCCTCCATAAAAAGGTGGAATGTAAATGAAGTAAAATGAAATAAAATAAACCAAGTCAGCAGTGGTGTGGGAGCAATTCTTTCCCTCTTACCATTTCCCTGATAGAAATCTCCCCTTAATACAATTAGACGTAGAAAGGAAAAAAGTATAAAGCTATAATATAGTGACCTCTCCTTTTCCCATAATTGGCAAATAGCATTCTTGGGGAACGATTTCTGCATGCCTTGTGGACGCTCTGCCACTGAACTACAGCCCCTCCTTGGGATGCAGCTGTGAATCATGAGTCTCCCACATAAAATGTAGTTTGGGCTGTAACAATATACGTACTCTGCTTCAGAACTAGTGGAGGGTAGGCAGTTGCAAAAATACTTTAGAAAGGGGGAGGAGGAGGAGGAGGGATTGGATTTATACTCTGCCCCCCACTACCTGAAGGAGCTTCAGAGTGGCTTACTATCTCCTTTCCCTTCCGCTCCCCACAACAGACACCCTGTGAGCAATGTTCCCTCTAAGCCGTGGAGTCTTGTGAGCAAAAAATCTACTTTCTGAGCTACTGGCATTAAAGTTGTGAGCGAGTGATTGGGCTGCTGCATAAATTAGTTTGCTCTGGAGCCATCCTCCCTGAGCTAAGATGAATATGTGTGAGAGGCTAAAAAACTGTGAGCTAGCTCACACTAACTCAGCTTAGAGGGAACACTGCCTGTGAGGTAGGTGGGGCTGAGAGATCTCTGAGAGAACTGCTCTTGAGAGAACAGCGCTGAAAGAATTTGTGACTGACCCAAGGTCACCCAGCTGGCTGCACATGGAGGAGTGGGAATCAAACCTGGTCCACACTCCTAACCACTACACTATACCAAAGACAAAAAGAGGCACCCACGGTGGGTCATTAGAGAAGGGAGACAAGCAATGCTCAAACAGGGATATTTTATGTGCCAATCAGGGGATCACAAGTAAGCAAGTCTCTCAGTTTTCACAGGGGTCATTTCCTGCGGGAGCGCACAGGAGCGGAGCTCCGGCAGTAAGGAGCCCAGGGGGTGGGCACATGCAACAAGCCCTGCCCCCTGCTCCCAGCAGCCCTCAGTCGGGTCACGAGGAACAAGAAGCAGCCAGGTAAGTTGCAGAGGCCCCCCCCGCCCACCTTCAGGTACAAGCTCTTCCTCCTCTGTGTGAGGGCAGATCTGCACTTCCCCCCCCCCAATAGCTAGCAATACAAAACAGTCCAGTGGTTCCTGAGCGGTGGGTGTTGCCTTCTGACACACTTCCGGTGATGTCAGGGGGCGTGGCATATGCAAATAAGTTATGCTAATAAGTTATGCTAATGAGCTTCTGCATCTCTTTTTCTACAAAATGACCCCTGAGTTTTCATATATGAAATGTTGGAGGGTATGCAGAAATGGAGAACAGAAGTTGAAGTGAGAAAAAGAGACACTGGTAACAAATGGGGTTGTGTGAATTCTGCCATTTATTTACTTACTTCATTTATCATCCAGCTTTTTCTTTGAGACTCAAGGGGGATCATGGCAGATTGCAGAGTTATAAACGACAGGATAATACATTTTATGAACATTTAAATAAAACTGGATTACACAGATTAAACAATGGAGCAGAAACATCTAGGGTTGCCAAACCTATTCCTCTGGGCCAGAGGAGTTCTTAAATAACTCCAAAGGGAAATCGCTGATGTTTTGACAAAACTTCTAATTGAAATCAGCCTCTTTTCCAGAGGAATATGGGAAAAGCACTAGAACTCCCATCCTTAAAAAGGAATTCAAAAGGATCTGGGAATGTATATGCTAATTTGCCTATCCTAGGAAAATAGGTAGAGATTACGATTAATATTAGAAGCATTAAACACACACAAAAAGTCTTGTATCAGCAGCCTTTCAGAATGTTTAGAGAATGTCGCCAAACACGTTGGCAGGGATGAGACAACAGACATTTTATAGGGACAAAGTCCCTCACCAAAGGCCACTAAAAAACTTAAGTGTGACACAGTAAGAGGACAGATTTTTTATGGATCAGTAACTGGTTAAAGAATATGAAGCAGAAAGTAGGAATACATGGACATTTTTCACAGTGGTGGGAGGTAAGCATTATAGTCCTCTGAAAGATCTATATTGATATTTAACATTAATAAATTATCTGGATTCAGGGATGAGCAGGAAGATAGCTAAGTTTGAGGATGATGATGAAATTAAAAACATATAGGAAAGAACTTTCACCAGACTAGATGAGTGGATGACATAACATCAAATGCTATGCCCTGTAACTGCCAAGTGAGGCACATTGGGGCCAAAATCCAATTTTTACCTCATCTAATATGCTGTTGGGGTCTGACTTGTCCATGACTATCTCAGGAAAGAGATCTTGGTGAAGCCCTCCATTCAGTGTGCAGTATCAGTGAAAAAAGACAAGCTCTGTACTGGGAATAACTAGGAAAGGGACTGAAAATAAAAATATCAATTTTATAATGCCATTATTCAGATTTCATAATGTCATTATATAAAAATGCTTTTAGGATACTGTGTAGTTTTGGTCACCCCACCTCGAAGGGATATTACAGCAGCTAGGAACGATGGTAGCTAAACTGAACCTTCCATGTTGAGGGGCTTGGGATTTTACCTAAATGCCAAAGCCTTCCTCTGTTAGAAGACGCTTTTTCTGCAGGACAAGCCATCTTGATCTGGAGGAAGGCTCCATCCGTAACGGAGCAGAGAGGCAGGATGCCACCCACTATATCTCTGAATGGCAGAAACTGGGAACAGACACAGGGGAGGATTTTTCCTTTCAGGTATGAGCCTTGTAAAAATATTTATTATTTAAACATTTGTGATATGCATAGCAGCCCCTGGCCTGGAAACACTGCCCTCCAGAGGGAGGTGATTGTTACCAACAGAAAAGGAGGGAGCAGAATTCCAAGGGGCAGAGAGAAAAAAGCTGAGTTGTTCTTCTCCTGAGAATGTGGAGAATTTCTGAAGAATTCCAGTGGAGAAAAAGCCTGTGGAGATGGAGAAAGGCAGTTGGCAGAAGAGTGGCCATTTTCTTCCGTGGGCATTCGATCCCGAGTGGTTGTGGGACTTCCCTGTCTGTGACTGTGAGGAAAAGTGGCTTCTCAGAGCTTGTGAAGAAGAACGACCTCACCAAGTGGGCAGCATAGCTTGTCCGGCCAGTAAATCCTTGATCAATGGCATGAGGTAAGCATTGGTCGAAGACACTGCAATGCTTACCCCATGCTGGCTGTGGAACCTGACAACGTAGGAGTCACAACCCAGAAACTAAAGAGACTTTTCTTCTCTTTTCACACTGACTGTGAGACTGCTCAGTATAATTTATTATTCACACAGTTTTGTTTAAAGCTCTGAGTTCTGAACTCATTGTTTCCCCGCCTTTATTAAAAGGCATTCGTTTAAGTGCTGTTCCGGTTTTGAATGGGAGCACCCACAATTATGTGACCACTAACTTGGCCCTTTTAAGGCTAAAAGGGTCACATGGGCATTTAAAGTAATATATGACAGACCATTCAAACAGGGGATTCCTTGAAGTCTGAAATGGTACAACCAAGAGAGAGCTGCGCTATCTGAAACACATCTCCACAGATGTACAGCAGCTTCATCCATGGCGTTGGAGGCAGTTTCTGTCAATGTGGCGAAAAACTGCCCTACCTGTGAAAGAACCCGCCTAACAAAACAGCTTGCCATGTACAGCTCAGCCAAGTGGTTCTGTTTCAAACTGTCAACATGCCATTGTAAATGGGCATAAAAATAAGGTCATACTGAGGAAAACATAGAAATGCACTGCTCTTCCCCCCTGTCATGTATTCCCTGTCATCCCCTCAGCCATTTTCTACTAGTAGAGAGGGGAGTGGAGAATTATCTGGGTATGAGAGTGGGCCCCTTTGAGGTGTGCCCCACCAGATTTTAAAGAAGACTGCTTGTAGAACTAGTTTGCCAAGATGGTACACATGACATTTAAAAAAAAAATCCTCTACTTACTGAATAGTAAGAGGAGGGTTAGCGTTCTTTTTGCCTATATTCAGAGACATACCAGAATTCCAAGATGGGTAGCCGTGTTAGTCTGTCTGTAGCAGTAGAAAAGAGTAAGAGTCCAGTAGCACCTTAAAGGCTAACAAAATTTGTGGTAGGGTATGAGCTTTCATGACTCTGAAGAAGCGAGCAGTGACAACATTTGTACATGCAAGAATGTAGCTTCTGACCGTGGAGATCTCCCCGCATCCCTGCTTTTTGCTTTACTTGTAGGAAATGTCTAAAATGCTTGTTGGCATTGTCCTCCTTTTAAAGTTAAGCTGATGGGATGCGTAGCCATAAAACTTCTCTGATATCTGGTACTGGCAATGCCTCCAATATCTGTATGGACTTTGTTGTAAGGAAGGAATGGTGGTGGTTAAATCATGGTAAAGTGTCATCATAAAAGACCCATGAGGGTCTATTATCCTGCTTAGAGAAGGAGGCAATGATGGTGTTGGTGAGGAAGTGGATGAAGAATCAGAAATGGATACCACTAAATATCTTTGTATGAGCAAAGGGTGGATTCCTGCAAGTGGGTTGCAACTTTAGTGAGGAAGCAAGAGGATAGGAGCACACTAGATCACAGATGGAATACTTGGAACAAACTGGACAGGATCTTACCAGATGGCAAAAGAAGGAGACTGCCAACGAGCTTATACCGTGGACTGTGGAACTTGTGTGGACAAAAGCCATACAGAATAGGGAAGGGAACTGGGTAAGATCAAGCAGAAAAACTCGTAGGATTCAACCCACTGACAGGAAAGCCATAGAACTTCATTTTCTAGAGGTTGGTGTGTGGGGGAGTTAGAAACTAGGTAGCTTCAGAAAAAAGCCAGAGAAAAAGAGTTCTTTTCTACTGCTACAGACTAACATGGCTACCCATCTTGATCTAGGTAGCTTCAGCTTCAGAAAGAAAGTGGAGATTCTTGGGGTTTGACATTTGTTAGGGCAACTGTTTCCAATCCTCTCACGGCCAGGACCTCATAACCTGAGACATTATACTCAAGTTACATTTCCCTCCTTTTCTTCCTAAGATGACCACATGCAAAGGAAAGCCGGGCTTCTGCATTTTAACACTTGTGAAGAAGAATTTCAGAAAATTCTTACCAGGATGGGATGAGGAAAGCTGTACCTGCTGAAACCACTTCTACCACCATTACAGGAGAGACCTACCACCAACACACAAACTCCATCCTCCTTTCTATCATGTTTTAAAGCTAAACAAGAACAAACATGTTGAGCTATGGGTGATGGTACCACTGGTGCGACACACCTAACATAAAGGTACAGCACACTCGTGGATCCATATTCACCCCCTGCAGACTAATGTCTTTGGGAAACTTTAACACTTGTTTTAGGAAGTTCTTAAGCAATAAAATCCTGCCCAGATTATATTCTTTGAGGCTTAATGTAAACATGAAACGATCTTTTGCAGCACAGTCAGATGTGCCTTCTTCCAAATATTTATTAGCAGGATCTTTGAAGGGAAAAAAAAAATCAAATATCCAGCAATCAGGGTTATTTAAGACAATGCAGTAAAACAGACTGGATTCAGGGAAGAAAAAAATTGAAGGTAGTTTTAATGGCATAGGGGGAAAGCTTTCCCGCTATAGTAAATCTTGATTTTGTCTTTCAATGTTTTTATTAAGTTTTTGAAGGTGAAAGTGGGATATATTTAAAATATATCTTTGTTCAGCGTGCCAAATCCCTGCTAGTTACTCACTTGAAATTTAATTTGAAACATTCTGTTTTAAGCAACAACAAAATATATGTAGCTGTTCTTCAACTGTTTCTATGCTTCTACATTTTATTATTTGTATACCTGTTTTCTAACAAAATTCAGTAATTTTATGAACTTTGGGAGGAGGAGGAGCTGAAAACTCAATAGAAAATTATGTTTTGCAAAACAAGCTACTGGTTTCAAGTAGTGGATTTAAAATAAGGCTGCAATCCTAAGAATACATGCTTGGAAATAAATCCAGCAGAAATGAAATAAACATGTTTAGGATCAGGATATAAGTCTCACAAATGCCTAGAATCAAATGATGTAATTCTGGGAATTCCAAGCTTTAACTCCTTATATTCCACACAGAATGCAAAACAAACTGTGCTCAAATAAAGCATTTTCTAATATTTTTAAACATTCTTGTTTTATATCTGAATTATTGCTGTCCTCCTGATGCACTTAAAATTATGGTAGAATTTAAAATCTTCATTAAACTAACAAAAAATTATCAACATTTCTTTTGTATAAGGGATATTTTAAGCTTCATGTTGATCTCAGCCTCTCTGAGATCTGATAGAACTGTTGCTAAATTACATCAGAGGATTGTTTTCTTTAAGAAAACTACAAAAGTTATGAAAGATGGGTTAGTAGCTGCATTTGCTTAGGAAAATCAGTTCTAGGTTGCTCAAATATAACAAGAAGCATCTGATTTATAACGAATGCACATCTTTGTCTGTTGGTGCAATTTTATTACAACGGTTTATTGTGAATATGAAGTAAGAAAACAGTTGTATACAATGGTCACACCATATTTATGAGTTCTGCCAGTTTTATTAACAACTTGAAGATTAAGGGAGACAATCCAGCAAGATGGATGTGCACATATATATCTGTGAGGAGAGAAAACAGCATAAAAGAAAATAAACGAAAGTAAGGATTTCCCTTTGTTTAAAAATATTAATCGAGGTTTTCTAAGTTAAAGGAGCTCTCATTTAACTGGTTTTGTCTTTCAGCTGTCCAACATAAATAAATTAGAAGAAATAAAAAAGGACAGGAATTGAATGAATCTGAGGACCACAGCAAAGTCCATAAGATGTCCTTTCAAGAGCTGCAACTGGAGTTCTAGTGCAGTTCAAGACAGCATTTGAATGCTGAGGGAGAAAAAAAATGAGAATAATAGAAAGAATAAGGACGTACGAATCCAGTCTTTATTAGGGTCACATTTTGTGACAGATCTCCATTTCCTCTGTAGCACTTCCTTGTAGTGAAAGGCTACCAGTCAATCACCTCCAAAATCATTTTAGCAGCCTCTTCTATGGGCATTCTCGAAATATTTTGGATCTGGAAATGTCTCCATCAAGAGGGCACTGCTGATTTATTCTGAACTAAAGTCTTTTCTGATTGGTTGGGAAAATAACAAAGGGTCTTGTGGCATCTTAAAGACTCACAAATTTATTGTGGCATAAGCTTTTGTAAGCTGCCAGGCACATATATATACAGATGGGAAACAAAACACAAAACAGTTTTTTTACACAGTGGGGCTGAAAGGCTGGGTTGTTTTTAAAGACTGTTTACTCAGATTTCAGAATGAATACAAAGAGTTTTATAAGGTGCATGGTATGTGCAAATTTATATAAACTGAAAAAATAATCAAGTTTTAAAGATGTTAAATGCATCTGCCTATATACATAACTTTTGTTTTCAGGAAATTCTACCCAATTTTTGATCCTTTGTTGTATGCAAATTTCAAGTTTTTCTTTAAAAAAAAGTCAATTTGTAACATCTTCTAGGGAAAACAATTTCTCTATAAACCTTTGATTATGCAGTTTAAGAGGCCATTAGGAATGCAGATAAATCTTCTCTTAATCCCATCAAATCAATGAATGAGAGAAAAATATTTGAGATTTTACTCAGGAGGGTAGTGTTTGTTTGGGGACTATGTTCAAAGGCTACTTTCCCCCCTGTATGTATTTAAAAGGGTCTGCCTACTTGAATATTACTCAGACAAATATAGGATTTCTGTAAACTCCATATTTTTTTAAAAAAAATTATGACTGAACTTCTAAAGTTGCTAGTTTTAAATAGTCCTCAAAGTGGCTTTTAATATTTGTATGTTCAAACTTATCTCTGAAGTAAAAAAAAGTTAGGATTATTATTAAGGGTTTACCCAAAGTGTTGCGTGATAATCTAGTTTTAGATTCTCACTGACCAATATCTAACCTATCTGAGGGCAGAGAAGTGAATTAAATACTGACCTCCAACAGAAAAAATTAACTTTTTTTAAAAATGAAAACCTTGGAACTTTTTAAAAAAGTTTTTTTCTGACTGAACTCAAAGGAGAGTTCATTTCAGGGTTCCTACAACTTGAGTTACAGTTGAAACATAAGCTCATAGATCTCTCCAACTTTCTAAAAAGATTCAGAAATAAATCAATGCTCTTGGCAGCTCTCATGGAAGCAAAGCCACGAGAAATTAAAAGGGCTTTTCCCTCTCTCTCTTTATATATTATGAATTGCATGGGTCCTTTTTTCCTCACCCCCACCCCAATCTTTTAGACACTCTGGCTCCAGCCTGAAGAATGCTAATACCTCTTTCTAAAACAGAACGGAATTTCAGGACCGTGTGTATCAAATGTCCAGTTCGATTAGGAAAATCGATATCTCCGACCCGCTGGTCACAGTCCACATTTCTGATGGGATTTCCTTCCTTCCTTTAAAAAAAGAAAAAATCACGCTTTGCTCCCCAGAACTGTTGCTTAAAAGTCACCCAGTGATGAGATTTCAGACTCTCCCCATTCAAGACGAGTTGCCAAATTCAATCATTTTGCTCCAGGGGTATTTTTTTTTAGTTTAATTTTTTGGGGGGCCATGCACACGCGGACATCCCGCACAAGCAGCCATTTAAAGGGCCAGCGCATTCCAACGATGCACCAGCCTTGCCTTGCCTTCCCCTCCCCCACCCTGCAATTTGCCTTCCAGCCCCCCTTCCCCCCGCCGCCACTCTCTGGATAGGTGGGGGGTTGTGAGTGACATGCTTTCAACATTCCCCCATCTCTTCTCCATAATGGAAGGGGATCAGCGTTGCCAGGGGACAACTGGCGCCTCTTCAGAGCTCACTTAACTATTGCACCTCATGCTTTTAATATATAGATATAGATAGATAGATATCTACATGTATATAAATGAATTTCTCCTGGAAGGCATTTAAAAATGAGGGGGGGAAGAGTGGCACCCGTCATCTTCCTCTTTCTCCCTTACCCCTCCCCGGATCTGGTTGATTCCTTCAGGCTGCTCCCTAGAGGTGCCTGGGCTCCGGCTAAGGCAGGTTTACTCAGAAGTAAGTGCCAGCCAGCTCAATGGCACTTACTCCCCTGTGTGCGTCTTGAAGGAAAAGTTCAGCCATCCGACACAAGAGTGTGTCAAATCCCGCCATTGTGTGCCTGGTGGGTTTTTGTTCGTTTGTTGGCTTGCCTTTTTTGGGGTTTTTTTTGCGCTGCACAGTCAAAAGTTCTGTTCTTCCAATCGCCGCCCTTTTAGTTGGTACAGAATATATATCTATCTATACTGAATTTTGATGGTTTCCCAACGATTTCCTTTCATGCCAACCAAAGGGGTCTTTCCCACCAAGAACACGCACCGTGTCCTTCTCCTGGATCCCCTTTGTTACATGGAGAGGGAGAAACAGTTGTGTATAAAGTACAATTCAGGCTTTTAAAAAATATATGTAACCAGGAAGGGGGGGAGAAACTATATAAAAGTAGCAGTGCGAAGGGGCGGGGGGCGTATTGATTGCATTTCATTCATTCCCGAGGAAAGGGAGACCAACTCCGTTCCCATCTCCCTCCCCCCTTCCCTTGGGCATTGGGGGCAGGGGGAGGTTATTCCATAGTCCAGACACTTTATTTGTTTAAAGTCATCAGTGGTAGGGGAAGGGGTTTTTTTTGTTTTTGTTTTAATCGGCTTTTAAAGAAGCGTCGGCTGGGTATCTGTCGGATCGAACACCCCCCCCCGCCCCGCCCCCCCCCCCCCACTACC